AAGCGCTAAATAGACTTTGACTAAAACTTAACTGAGTATGAAATGTCTCAAGGGTTTAATATTGAGAGAGTATTACTAAAATAGAGATATCAAAAATACTAATAAGCAATAGATATCAAAACTGAGAGACACTTCGAAAAGGAGTAATATCACGAAAATACTACTAAAGAAAAAACTATCAAGAGTAAATATCAAGACAGTTAAAATATCACGAATGATAAGTATTAAGAGAGTTAATTAAGAGAGTTAAGTATCGAGAGTAAATGAGTATTGAAAATTGCGCCCCTTAAATACATTTGCTGACCATGAATTTTACTTGAACCCCTTCCCTTATTTTCTGTCCAATCAGAGACTCCTCCCTTATGGTGTGAGGGCAGCGCCTTTTTTGGCTTCGGAGTTAATTAAGGGCCTAGTCGTCTCTGGGTCTTCATGATGAGCAGATGCCTCATTGCTGCTGCCGCATGCGACAGCATGTCGGCAGTGCAGGGGGGGGGGGGTGCTGACACATCTGGTGACAGCAATGCAACTTGTAAACAGCGGGAAGGGGAAGGAAGGTCCGCTTGCAGTAATGCTTGATGTAGTTGCCGAACGGAACGAAAATGCAGATGTCAAAATTATAGATTTTCCCGTGCTTTTGGTATTGTTTTTCCAGATGTTTTATGACACTAATGCGTGAGAATTTTGAGCAAGCGAAGTTATGAAATCCAAATACAAATTTTACGATGTTACTTCCCAGATGTTTTATTGCACTGACAAAAAAGGAAAAATGTTCTCGCATTCTCGAACAATATGAAGCCTGATAAGAATTTTCTATTATGACTGAAAATATGCATTGGCTCCGCGTTATTTTTTTTATTTCTTATTTCTTTTTTTAATGGAGTAGAAACCTATTTCCTAGAAATTCTTAATTATTTTCGGTATTAATATTATTTAAATTACTCTATATTATGATATGTAATTAATTCTTTGAATATATATTTGAACTTGCATTTAATTTTAACTACCGAAATATACTATTTTTTACTTTGGAAACAAGTTTATGATATAATACACAATAATATTAATCCACTGTAACTAGAATTGCTGGACACGTTGTTGCATAAATTGCCAACGGCGCAATCCTGATATTGACAATCCATCTAAAGATGGTTCAGGTATTGTAGTAAGTGGACATCCGATTAGAAAATGACGTGGAGTTAAGGCAGCTTAATTATCTAGATCGTCACTCAAGGGCTCTAGTGGTCTTTAGTTTAAAATTGCCTCAATTTGAGTCAAGAGAGTCGTAAGTTCCTCAAATGTAAGTAGCGTTTCTCCAATTGTGCGCCGTAAATGAAATTTTGTAGACTTGCTTCCATTTTCCATTTTCCATTTTCCTCCCATGTGAGACGCAGCTGGTGGGTTAAAATTCCAGTGAACATTGTCTTGTGAGGTTAGCGCTGCAATTTTAAAATGCTCTTCTGATCTCCGTGAGAATAACCTTTTAAATTCCTTGTTTGCTCTTGCAAACGTGGTGCCACAATCTGAATGCAACGTGTGTGGGATGCCTCTGCGAGAAGAGAATTTCCGAAAAGCGGCTATGAATCCATCTGTTGAATAGTCGCTGACCACTTCAAGGTGTACAGCAGATGTGGCGAAACATACAAAAACACAAATCCATGCCTTTTAGGTCTTTGCGCCTCTGCCCTTCCATGTTTTCAGGGTTATAGGACCAGCATAATCGACACCCGTATACGCAAATGGTCTTGATGGTGTTACTCGCGACAGCGGTAATTGTCCCATCATCTGTTGAGCACAGATTCCTCTCTGTCGTGTACATATGGCGCATCGCAGAGTGTGAGATTTTACCGCTTGTCGGCCTCCAAGAATCCAATACTGCTGTCGTGTATGCGCTAGGGTGGGTTGGGTGCCTCCATGCAGTGTCCTTTGATGAGCCTGGGCTATTACAAGATCCGTAAATCGTGATTGGCGTGGCAAAATTGAAGGGTGTTTTTGTTCGTATGCGAGAGAAGAATTCATTAGCCGTCCTCCTACTCGGATGAGTCCTTGCGAATCGATATAAGCTGTTAAGCGATGGAATGCGTGTCCATTTTGTAGTTTATGTTTTGACTCAAACATCTTGATTTCATGAGAGAAACAAACAGCCTGTGTTGCCTTTATCCAGAAAAGTCTTGCATTTTCTACCTCCTGTGAATTTATGGGCATGTCGGGAGAAGGCTTACGCCTTTTCCTTAAACGTTCAATGAATCCAATACATGCAGCTGTGATTCTCAATATTTGATGTAATTTTGGATACTTATAAAATTACATCCCAGTGATAGTCAATGGGTTTTATGGTAGCTGCAAGAGAAATGCCAGGGCGTGCTTCTTGTTCACACGTTTTGTCATTCTGTGTTAGCTGCTTAGGCCACGATTCTGGTGACTGCATCCATGGTGGTGGATAGTCCCATTTGATAGTGTGTAGCCATAATTCTTGCAGTATCATTTTGGCTCTTATTACCACGGGTGAGACGAAACCTAGTGGATCAAAGATTTTAGCGATATTTGACAGGATTATTCGCTTTGTTACCTGGTTGGTGTCCATGGACACTGTTGTAGTAAATGTGAAATTATCATGTTGTGGATTCCATTGTAATCCGAGAATTTTGTCGTGCAGTCATCGAATATAATAGTTTCTGGCTCCTGAATGCATTAAGTCTTTGATGGAATATCCGGACGTAGTTGGACTTGAGCCGTTGAATATGACACGCAATTTGTTGGTGAAGCTGTCTCGTTTTAATCTCCATGATGAGGCAGGTAATAGTGAGGTTTGTCGTGGGATACTGAGGAAACTCTGACCATGTGTTTAAGGTCGATATACGTCTTCATGAATTCATGATAGGATTAACGATAAACTTCGTTCCTTTCGAAGCATCTCATCAGGCTTTGTAGGCATCGATGTGCTGTGTTGTAAGAGTGACCGAGGAGTTCAATTGACTTCTTCATTGGAAGTTGAACGATGTACGTTCCTAATGATTCTCGCGAGTGAGTTTCAATGAAATGAACCTCGCACCATTGTTCATCAGGGTTAAGGAGATGTTCGATGCTCCTCGGAACCTCTTCTTGCACCCAAAATCTTGTTAATAATTCTTGTAAGATTTCTTCCACTTCGACAACTGATGTGTGGAATGATACTGTGCTCATGTCCTTAATTTCATTGACTGGACCAAGTACCAACCATCCAAATATGGACAATTGTGCTATTAGCATGGATGGTGCTGCCTTGATTATGTTGGGCAGGATTATCTGTCCGTATGCATCTGCTCTAATGACTATATCTACAGGTCTGGGTGTAAGATAGTCGGGGTCTGCATATTTCAGATTTTTTAGATGCTGCCATTCTTGGTTTGATGTATTAAATGATGGGAGCATCGTTGTCAATGATTGAAGTATATTTGCAAACACTGTAACTGACGAATTGGAATGAAGTGACTGAAGAGTGAATGATACAGCACCTTTAGCCTGAGTTGCGATGAGTCCTCCAATCCCATGAATTGTAATGACAGATCTATGGTGTGGTAAGTTGAGTTTCCTGACCAGAGCTTCTGTGGAAAACGTAACTTCTGAGCCATTATCAATTAGGAGGCGTGCTTCTATCGTAGCTGATGGTGAGCTAATTTTTGCTATAGCAGTTCCCAACAAGGTGGTTAATCTTGACGGTATTGCTGGATTGATGACTGCACCGTCTTGTTATGTTGTAGCGTTAGTAGCGTTGACTGGATTAGATGGTGAGCTATTGGGCTGTGGGTTGATGTCCTCGTGTAGTAAAGTATGGTGTCCTTGTGTACACCTTTTGCACTTGTTGCCGCCACATCAACGAGACCGTAGATGATTATGTAGGCAGTTGAGACATAAGTTCTTTTTGTTGACAAAGGCCTTTCTTTCTGTAAGTAATAACTCGATGAATTTTTTGCACAACATCAATAAGTGCTCACCTTGACAATGACTACATATCGTGGTTAGTGCTGAGATCTTGGTGGGGTTAGGTTTTTCAGTCCGAATGGTAGACTGATAAGCTCTTACTGTATTTTTCTTGATGGGTTTTTTCTTCTGTGACTGATTAACAGGAGGTGAAGGTCTACTGTATTGTAATGCTCGTACTCTATCGTTTAAAAATGTGTTGAGCTGCTCATAGGTGGGATACTTGCTTGTATTACTTATATACCTTTCCCATAGATCCTTTGTATTTTTAGAAAATCTCTAGACGATGTTATGCACCATTATACAGCCCCATGGGTCTGACTCCAGTTGAAGGTGTCGCATTTTCTTTAACAAATCATTGCCGAAGCAGCGAGAATTTTCTATGTCTTCTGCATTATCCTTTAACCGTTATCGTTTATGTTTATCTATATGTCTATTATTTATATGTCGCCGTATGTTTATCCTTTAGATGGCCGGATGGCGGTGAACTTATTTATTTGAGATTGTATTAGACGACGAGGGTCTTCATACTTTTCTCGCAAGGCTTGCCATGACAGTTGTAATGCATTGCTATCTAATCGATTACTCAATATGGTCTTGGCAGCCTCACCTGAAAATTTTGAGATGGGAGGAAAATTTTACGATGTTACTTGCCAGATGTTTTATTGCACTGACAAAAAAGGAAAAATGTTCTCGCATTCTTGAACACTATTCATAAGTTATAACTGTTAATATTAAATAGTAAATATTAAATTTATGCAATTAGAAGTTTACGATTAAATGACAAAAAAGTTTAATAATGACTCTTGTTTATAAATTCATAAATTATGATTTAAATAATTTAGAACAATTACTAAAATGTATATGTAATCTAAATACCAGTAATCTTTTCTTTTTCAATAATTACTACCATATAACCTGTAATATTAATCTTTAACGTTATCAATTATAATAAAATTTTCTTTAAATAAATATAAGTAATAAAACATACATTTTATAAAAAAGTTAAAAATATTTTTACCGTATCGAAACATTATTTTCTTATCATTGAGAATGAAAACAATTTATCAAATTAATTCTGTAGGCTTCTTAAAGTACCAAGTTTATTTATAATATTTATAATTTATTATTTATATATTAATTATATATATAATTTATTTATTTATAATACTTAATTAAAATGTATATATAAATGAATATTTGTTTACAATATTGAATAAATTATTTTCCTATATTGTTGTACTAATATTAAATATATCTTAGCATAGCATCTTAAATTTATTTAATGTTTTTTATTTTCATTAGAAATTATAATCAAATTAAATTTCTGTTAATGATTATATTTTTAGACAATGGCTGCAACAAAACGAAATGCTGGATTATCTTCCGTAACACGTCCAACACTAAAAGATGAAGAACTGGTAACAATTAATATACAATTAATGTTAATATTTATTTTATAGATGTTACATATTCTTTCAAAGATTAATAGTGATAATGAATATTAATATATATATATATATATATATATTGATGTTTTATCTAAGAATTATTTATAAGTATATTATTCGTTATTTCTGGTATTGAATAAACTAAAATACCGATTTATCATTTAAAAATTAATATATATTCAAAATAGTAATATTTTGTGATTTGAAAGGTTTATTGATACTTATTATCACAATAGTATTACATTTATTATTGATATAATTTGATTAATATTTTAAATTTATTTCAATTATTCTTCTTAAACTAATTTTTATTTTATGATTTTTACAATTAAGAAAAACAAAAAATAATAAAATAAATTAACTATATTAATCTGAAGAATGAAAAATGATTTTTGTTAATAAGATGATAATATATTCTTACCTTGCAAATTATTAGTTAATGTATTCTATTATATATAAGAATAATTTAATATATTACCCTACAAGGTAATAATTTTTATATTCATAAAGAAACTTTCGGTAAATTAAGTGGCCATTTACATTTGCATTTGTTACAAAAGGTATCATTTTTCTAAATAAATAGTATCAAAAAACTTTTTATATAATTTAGAACTAATCATCTTTTTGAAATTAAGTACGATATTCAAATTTGTGAATTTACGTATTAGTTGCATCAATCAACAGTTGCATAATTTCTTTTTAACCCAGTATATCGAATTCAATTAATTGCATGGATAATCTTGTCTTTTTCTAAGATGAAATAAATATAAAATGTAACTAAAAGGCGTTGCAAAGGGACAGTCTATCAGAAATCATAAGAAAAACTATATGCCTAGTTATTAGTTAGCAATATATCATCAATGCATTTGAAATCTCAAGACTTCCCAATTGAGCATGAATGAGTGAACTGTATCCAACTGTCATAAAGTTAGTATTATAAGATAGCAGTACAAAAATTATGAAATCTTAATATTAATATAATTATATTAACATATTAATTTATTAATCGAACTTAGAAATAAATATACGCATTTATAAAGTACAAAATTAATTTTTTATAAAACTGTTATTTAAGTTTTAATATAATAATTATAATAGAAAATAACATTTCATTCATGAAATTCATCAGTAAATTAATTATAAATCGGAAAGTAATAAATTTTATGATTATAAAATGTTTAATAAATATATAGATGATTAATTTACATCATATATTTATATCATATTTATTTCATATAACTTATAATTGCATAATCAATTGAAAAATATACATTTTAAAAATATTTTTAAACTATATTAATTTTACAAAATAGATTATATTAAATTTATGAATAAGGTTTCATAAATTCTATAGATGGGAATATTTAAATTTTGTATTAATTGATGTTTATAAATAGTAATTTGTAAGTAGTTGTAAATTATAAAATGTCAATGATATATATAATTATTTTATTTGTTTATAGTTCTAATTATATTTCTATCTTTTAATATATTTCATAAAAAACTGTATCTATTTTTTTATGAATATATTATTTACTTTTTAAAATTATATATAATAAAGTATGTTTTATTATATAATATCGTTTTCTTTTTATTCAATGGGAACTTTGATATTTTATAAAATTGTTGATCTTGCGTGATAAATATATTTTATTACATCAATATGTATTATGCTTGAAAATTAATTTTGTCCATCAATGCTTATTTGTCTTAATCATTATTAATTTTTTGTTATTTTTATTCAGTATTTTTTAATAAAATAAATAAAAGTAAATTCAGTGTAATTTAACTAGTAAATATAATTATAAATACTGTGTAAGATTAAATTAGCAACTGTATAAAATTTGTTTAAATACACAGATTTATTATTCTATATAAAAAATAATATATTAAAATTTGAATCTTTCAATGATAGATTGTTAGGGTTTATTTTCACGTCTACGAATATATTTATTAAATTAAATATCTTATTAAGTACTTTAAAAAATCATAATATAATCATAATACAATTCTGCATTCTGATAAATTAGTAACATTTTATATAATAATGTTTAAATAATATATAAATATGTAAAACATACTGTAGAGGAAAACTTTTGTCGTTTATATTTTCACAGAAAATGCATGTATACAAAAAGACATTGCAAGCGATGATCTATCCAATTTCATCAACAACACCTCATAACTTCATTACATGGACAGCAACTTCGCCTACATATTGTTATGAATGTGAAGGTCTTCTTTGGGGCATAGCACGTCAAGGTGTTAGATGTGTTGAATGTGGAGTCAAATGTCATGAAAAATGCAAGGATCTTCTTAATGCCGATTGTTTACAAAGTATGAAGTATCACAAAATTCATATTAAAATACAATTTTATGATTTTAAATACAATTATTTTCAAAGCTATTGAAGAATTAAAGAATTGAATAAAAGTATTATTGACAGACAATTTAAATTTATATAAACATTATTTTTTATTTAAAAAAGATTTTCGATTTAATTTGACAATTGATTTAATTTAGTCTAAAGTATATGTTGATCCTTATAAAATATTTTATTTAAAATTCATTAAAAAAAATGTAAGCAATAGAAATAGTATTGTTATCTTTCAAAATATAATTATAAAATTAATATTTAATTTTAGGGGCAGCTGAGAAGAGTTCAAAGCACGGAGCAGAAGACAAAGCTAATAGCATAATAACTGCAATGAAAGAGCGAATGAAACATCGTGAACGAGAAAAGCCTGAAATATTTGAACTTATTCGGTGAGTATAATTTCAGTTTAATTTCTCTTTATTAAATCAAATTATAAATATTAGTTTAATAAATAAATTGAAAGACCAAGGAAAACATTTTGTAGGTTTGAAAAAATAAGTTTATAAAATTGAATTTGTATAAAATATTGATCAACTTTTTAAACTTTTAAATTTAAATATATTTTATAATTTTAATTTATATACAGGTAAAATTTATATTGTATAATTATTTCATAAATTCTGCAATACATGTATGCACGAAGAGAAATTATTTGGAAATCAATGCTAAAAGCTCCTATATTTATTTTATTTGCAAATAACCTTTATTATAATACATGTAAAATACATAAAAATATGAAACCTAATTATATTATCCTCTATAAATAAAATATATATTATTTTTATATAATTATATATATATATATATATATATATATATATATATATATATATATATATATATATATATATATATATATTAATCTATGAGTTAATATATAAGGTTTGAATGAAAAATTTACTGACTAATTTATAATTAATATCTAAATAAATATTAATAAATTAAAGAGTTTATAGTATTATTAATATAGACAAATTATAACTATCTTGAAAATATTTAAAAAAATATTCTTCAATAATCTATATTTACATTTTAATGAATATATAAATATATCATATACATAATGAATATGAAAAAAAAAAATAAATATTATAATCGAGCTCTTTTATATAAAAACAGATTTTTGTGCAGAGTTTATAATGACTATACGAAGTACAATAACTTAGTAGTTTGAACAAGAATTTAACTTTTATGCCTTTATATGTTCAGTTTCTGATCACGTAAGTTATAAATCAATTCTTTTCGTGACTTTTCGTGATCTTGAAGTAATAATAGTAAAAAAAAAATTGCAAAAGATACATTAAAAAAGGTTCCATAAACTTAAAACAAACGTCAGCCAAATTCGGGTAAAATGTCTTTTAAAAATAATAATAATATTTTTCGTTAAAATTAATCCACTATCTTTGATTTATATAAATATCACTAAATATGTATAACATAATTCATAATACTTTTCCCATTTAAAAAAGGTAACCATGAGTTATGTAATATATATTAAACATACATAGAGATTACATTATAGTATCCTTCTATTCACAATGGTTTGCATTTCGAATTTTTTAAATTTAATTTTTTTTTTTATTTTCTAACGGTAATATAATATGGAAAAATTAATGATTTGAGGCTAGCGGTTTATTTTGAAGAGGGCATACAAACAATTTTTATTTTCAACGTTCATCTGTATTTTTATTGCTACTGTAACAAAAATTTTAATATTTAAGTAAGTAATAATGTTATTTTACAGTTATTAGTATTGTATAAAAATACTAAAAAAGTGTCAAATCGCTAATACCTTCAGATATTTTTATTAAATAACAATTTCAGGCTACAGTTTACCTGTTATTATTAAATACAGGAAAAGCTATTACAAAATCGAGAAAAGTTTAAAAATAGTTGTACAAATGCCTTCTAGAACCTTATAATAATTAAAATTGGAACTAATATTTTGAAGTAATTATTTTTTAATAAGTTATATTTTTAGTTTAAAATGAATGTTACAACTAAAAATAGAAAAATGATTTATTAGCGATTGTTCAATACACGTGAATGCTATATTTCATTACTATTGAAATTAAGTCTTATTTTAAAAAATTATGTTTTTCAGTATACTAAAATACTTTTAACAAGTAAATATGAACTTCAATGGTAAAATATTATAAATTGTAAATTATTTGTACTTTGAACTACTATAGAGATTTGCTACATATCTCTCATTCCATAATCATTTGTGTTCATAAAATTTATTCCGTGAACGTACTGAAATTTACAATTTCAACAATTATGTATAATATTCTTGTACAAACAATTTTCAATAATTACGTAATCATTGAATTGCTGTTATAGTTACTGTGTTATACTATTTATAACTGAAACAACAATAGTTATAAACATTTTATTAAATTAATTTTCTTATATTACAAAGTAATAATATTTGGCACAAATTGAAAAATAAAATATTAATAATATTAAAATCTGAGGTTCTAAAAAATTTAATTGAAAAAAATAATAATTACTTGCAATTACTTCATTTTAAAATTTTTGCCACAGTAAAATTTAAATTACTAAATTCGTATTTGAAAATAAGTATTAAAAATCCTATAAATATTTATCAATGCTTACTACTTTAGTCGAAAAAACCAAAAAATGAATATTGTAGATAAATTAGTTATAGTATACTATCATAGACTTGTAAATAGTTTATTATAGTATAAATTTATTTAAAGTATATACATATTAATTAATCATTTTTATAATGTAATAATATTTATAATATAAAATAAGTTTAAGATTTAATAGAAAATTAAATTAATATAATTAAACTATTTATATTTTTTATTAGATTATTTATATTATTCATAAATAATATGTTAATCTAACATGAGAAGTCTTAAAATTTATAAACAACTAAATAATTTAGGGCATTCAAAATATACTAATAATTTTTGTATAATGTACTAATTAAATGTATTTATATTATCTTATTGAACAAATAACAATAAATAATTGAATTATATGTAATGATATTGCAATATTTCAAATCCATTACTTATATAAATGATTTGGATATTATAAAGAATTCGAAATAAAAAATCTAAAAAAGTAAATTATTAAACAAAAATTACTTTATTATACAATCAGATTTGGTAGCTATACTCCTGATGTCTATAAATATAAAAATAATAAACTACATTAGTACTGAATTTCATCCATTTTTCGCCAATATAACAATTGTTTATACCAGCTTTCATATGTATAAAACAATTTTTTAATCTATTATGTTTTTAATGTTCTATTGCTTTCCTGCGAGTATATATTTATTTAATTGACATAATAGTATTAATATTTTATTTAAAGGTTATAAAATTTTGCTATAATTAAATATTTCAATTACATCATTTGATATGATAAAATTATAGATCAAGAAAAAATTTCTATCGTTTAAACTGTATTTTATCTTAATACTAAGTATTCTATTTAATAATAATAAAGAAAATTAGCGAATTGAAATTATATATAACATCAATATGCGGTTTATTATTATATTATTATAAATTAATTTGACACCTCTTAAATGATATAATATAATCAAAACATGATATTTTGTTAATACCACATAACTCTTACATAATTTATTTTATTTTTATTTTTATTAAGATAAAAATTCTTCGGATACAATTGCGAATTTGTAATATTTAAGTCATTAAGACATAATACATAGTCTATCAACATAAATAAATTTTCGATTATATTATTGTTAAATGTTTATTTGAAATTAAATATGGCCACTTGTATACTTATATTTATCATTATATATATAAAGTTTTAAAATAAAAAATGTTTTTATATTCTTTGCTTTGAATTGAAGAAAAATGTCATTATAGTTATTTTATATTGTATGTTTAATATTACACTTTATATACAATATAATGTTTAAAATGAATTTGTCCGCCGTTAATAAAAAAGACTTGTTTTCGACATTAAACAAAAAAAGTACATAGAATTTTGATTACCACAAAAGTTTAGAAAATTATTCTTCTTTTAGCGAATAACTAAAATTGATTAAAAATATTAAAACAGAAAGTATAAGATGTTATTAATATAATCAAAATACAATAATCTAGTAGTAAAATAAAAAACAAATTCTTTGAATTTAGTAATAAAATGTTTTAATAATTTATAGTCTACAGTCTTTTTTACATCTTACTTCACTATTTATCCAAAGTTTCACAATCTGTAATAAGCTTAGGAAGGGTATAAAACTTTTTTTATTTTCTTATCATTTCAAATTCAAGTTTTCTTTTCTAAATACATCTATATTTGAAAGAAAGCTTTTCTAAAGAAATATAATTATATTTTCCGAATAATAGTTAATCAGTATGGCTTGAAAGTTATTTAAATATTATTCTTTTAAACACTTTTTTACTACATTACACAACCATGTAATATATTTTGGCTCGAATTAAATAGATATATATATATATATATATATATATAATAAGCTATA